TCAATCTTGAAAATAACTAATTTTAATGAAAACAAAACAAATACTACCATAGTAATGCTATTGTTATCCTATAAAAAAGGTAGGTATTAAAATTATTTATTTGAAAAATTCACTGTAAGTGCTTTAGTAACGTCTCACTTGTTTATAAGTACTTTTGAAATAAATTTAACCTTTAAAACACACCAAAAAACCAGGCGTGGTGGCACATGCCTGTAATCCCAGCACTCAGGAGGCTGAGGCAGGAGGATCGCTGTGAGTTTGAGACCAGCCTGGACTACATAGTGAGTTCCAGGTCAGTCTCAACTACACAGGGAGACCCTGTCTCAAAAAACCAAAGAACACACACAAAAAGAATGTGGTATGTACATAATGGAGTATTATTACCCAGCCACAAAAAGGATAAATTTGAGCCATTTAAAGGAAAATGAGTGCACCTTGAGACCATAATTCTAAGTGAAATAAATCAGCTACTGAAGGTTAAATATCACATGCACTTATGTGAAAAATCCAAAGTATAAATAGTTTAAAGAGCAAAATTAAAGATGGACAATAGAAAACAGGGAGGTAAGACCTTCTGCAAATGGGAAGAGACCTAGGGATGAAGCAGGAGGGCCTGAGGGAAGGGAAGTGTGTCAGTAAAAACATGGTTCATGAAATTCTGTTTTCATTATCCCCTTATTTTAACCATGTATACCAACCTATCACTAAAAAATAAATCAAGAAAATAAATTTTTACCACAAAACTATGGTTTAGGAGTTGCTTAAATTGTTATCTTTTGCAGATATTTTAATTATACTAAAACTCAGTAGTTACTTGTCAAATATTTACACAGAATGTCATATCAAACTGTAATAAAAAATGAAGTTGTTAGGCAGACATAAAAAGTATGAATTAACAGTTGTGCTTCTTTTTATCCTGCAAGAATTCGTAGGCACTCACAAGATTGTGAAACCAGCAAGTGCTTCATAGTTAATTTTTATTTAATAACAAAATCTGTCATAAGATTACTGTACCAACGTGCCATGACATTGACCCAGTGGGCCTGAATCAAGAAAATTTTTGAAAATAAAATTGGTAGTGATTAAAGCAATGGCTACATTTATTTTAAATATGTAACGCCTGCACATCTCCCATAGAAGTAGTAAAAATTCAGAAGAAATACAAGCCAGCCATTCAAGGCAAGTTGCACTACAAACAGCACATGACTCAGATGACAGGAGCTGCGAGATGACAGGGAATCTTTTTCTCTAAGTGTTGACAATAGGAAAGAGAGCGACAGTAAGTGTCCATTAGATAAAGCGATAATGATGAAAAAGAAAGACACTAGTAAAGACAAAGACAAAGACTTGGGGGCTGGGCCGGTGTTAGCAAACCATCCCATTCTTAGCGGCTACTGTCCCGACTCACATCTACAACAGAACACCTCAAAAGAGCTTAGGGGGTTCAAACGCACCGCTGCGACGTGCGCTGCTCTATTGAGTATGTAAGCTGAAGACACTGGAGAAGCAGCAGGTGCAGGAAGGGCGTCAGGTCATGAACTTTCCCACAAGCAAGGTGCCCTCCCATGCCGGGAAGAGAGGCAGATCCTCAGCAGGGCCATGCCAGGATGGACGCAAACCAGTCAACTAAGTAACGTTCATTCTCTCCTTCTACTCCAGCTCCTCTTCCTCGTGTCCTTTTCTACGCTGTCCTCGTATTCTTGAACCCCCAGGGCTCTGCTCTCAGACCACACCTAGTCCTTCCACGCCCTCGCAGCCAGTCCTGAACTGTGAGAATACATTTCTGGGTTCGGTTTTGTTTTCAGGCAGGATCTTGCCCTGTAGCCCGGGCTGGGATCCCGCCTCAGCCTCCTGAGTGCTGGGATTAGAGGTGTACACCACTGCGACCGCTGATCTTCACACGGAACACAGTTCGTGTCGTTCCTCCACGCAAAGCCTCCCATCTCATTCAGAGTAAAATCTGAAGTCCTTACGATGGCCTGCAAAGCCCTACGCACGGTGCCCCCCGCCTCTCAGCCCCTGTGGCCCCTCGCCTCCTCTCTCACCCTCTTCCCTTGGGCTCCCTGCGGGAGTCGGTAGGCTCTCCTTACAGGTCTCTTCTAGGACGTCGATCATCCCAATATTTTTCTGCTACTGTCCCCTTACCCTTTGTTTTTCTGCCTAGCCATGATCACAAATGTCTATCAGTTTATTGTCTGACTTCCGCCACTGTAATATACCCTCCAGGAGAGGAGGTGTGTAAGAAAGCCTTCAGAATGATCAGCAAAGGTGACTGCAGGAACACAGCACTCTGGGGTTTTCTAAAGTGCCCAGCTGCGGCAGCCAGAGCTTTAAGCTGCCCTTCTGGACTTCAGAGGGTGGAAGATGACAGGCACCTTTAGGAACTGCTGATAGACTGATTCAGAAGACTTCCAGAAATAGAATGTCTGATAGGCTTCGTGAAAGGACAACCACCACTGGAAAAGATTTCAGAAAGAAAGATGGAGCTGATCGCTGCTCTCAGGACAGAGAGAGCCAAGGCTTGTCCCTGAGTAGAGACAACACGGAAACTCTCCTGCACGCCTGTATTTCCTGGTTCTTACCAATAAATCTGCAAGGGCCACCGTGGGCAGGGGCTAAATTTTAGAGATCACATTGACCTCGATACCTGCCCAAACAAGATGAATTGATTCCAATAGCTTATAAATCTTTTAAAGTAAGAATATGTGGACTTTACTGTCTCTCATTTGAAACCTGTGGAGAAGGGAGACACTACTACTTTTCTGTCTTTAGTAATTAGAAATGTTTAGAGACCGGCATGGTATTTAAATTTTTGAGATGTGTAAAACTGTATTAGACAAGGCATTAAGAATACTTTAAAGTGTTTATCTACTACATTAATTTTAATTATACGCCACTGGACTCACAATGTTTTGAAACGCTTTATAAAATGGCCTCAAGATCTTTTTATTAATCATAATTCAAATGCTGAGGTTTCCGAGTCTGGGTAGCAGCAGCTTTGCCTGAGGGCGCCCTCTCCTGTTCCAACAGTGTACTGCAAACACATTTCGAGGGCTTCGCAGCAATTTTGGTTAGAACAAAAGGGGCTTCTTAGGAAAATGTCAAAGCAGACATCATATTACTTAAATAAGCTCCCCTTCCTTCTAAGGTTTGGAACTCTGTGCTGGTGCAGACAGACGAACATGGAAGGGAAGTAGTGGACCTCAAAGTGGAATGGTGATTCACATTTCTTCTCCAGGAATTCTCATGGAAATGAACTTTAATCTTTCAAAACTTTTAGTAATTACACTAATCTGCTTCCTTTTCCTTACATAATTTTAAAGACATACTATTACTTGCAGCTTTTATCTGTGGTACTTTTTACAATTCAACTATTTGCTTCCCAACCAGCAACTGTCTTGCTCAGAAAATTAATTAGGCCCAAAGTCATATATTGATGCCACTTTGAAGTAGGAGCTTGTTCATAAACCTAAAACAAGAAAGATCCTTGTTTCATAAACCAGGGAAAACTGCATGTGATTATACTGAGTCCCATGACACTGTGATCAAGAATGATAAATACAAAAAAAAAAAAGAATGATAAATATAGGCACTTACCAATATTTCATCAATACACACGCCCTACACTTTTGGGCCCTGGGTAAGGTCCATGGAAGGGAGCAGCTGCAGGGACTTGGGAGGGCTTAGGAAAGGTGACAAAGTCACCAAAGCGTCTGCAAGGTGGTGGGCAGTCCAGGTGGAGTTGAAACAGAACAGGACGTGTTGATCGATGGAGAGTGGAGGAATGTTGTTACGATATGGTCAGTTAGTGCCACTGACCCCTTCCATTGTTTCTGAAGAACCAGAGCCATTCCTCTGTGCTGCCGGCAACCGTTAAAATAGTTCTTGGTGACTGGACCTCAATGAAGGGCTGATGCAGTTTTGGAATATTAACTTTAATAGATAAATAGAAGTTTAACTTCAACAAATGTCTGTTTTTTATACAATCGAAGGTGAAGAAGTAGGTTTTTTTTTTTTTGTACCAGGGATTGAACTCAGGTCCTTGCGTTTGCAAGGCAGGCCACTGAACCGCTGAGCTAAATCCCCAGCCCATGAGAAGTGGGTTTTGTGGGTCGGTTTTTATCAGCATTGCTTTCTGCCTGCATCTGCTCACCCAGGCCCATCGTACTTCTCACAGCTCGTCTGAGACAGGTGGCACAGTTGTGTGACAATACTTTCCTACACATTAAAAAGTCTGTTTTTAGATGCACCTGATTTCTATAGTGGAACTACTCAAGTTGTCAAAGTCATATAGTTCCATCTTCCCGTGGACAAAATTTGTCTCAATTGTCAGGAGACCCAATGAAAGACTCTGGAGTACAAGTCCTGTCTGGCTCCTTCACCCACACCATCAACACCTCGCATCATCTTTGGATTATTTTACAGACCTATAAATTAAAGAGAACTGATATTCTTACCTATGATTACTGTCCACTGAAGTACAAATTGTGTGGGATAGGAGGAACTATTGATTGCTACCTTGTGGATGACTATACCCATCTTTGTATCTACTTGCAAACTCATTCCAAAATCCCTTACTTCCTGTGGATGCCGCTGCCCTCTGAACTTCCCCTGGAACCCGCTGCTACGCATCTTACCAGTTTCCTCATTGGTTAATGAGTTAAATAAAATCTTATGCACATACTCATTTTATATCTTGATGAGTCAGGAGTACAGGCTCTTTAAAGAATCATCCTTCATAATATCATCAATTAGAGTTGGATGGTGTTATTTTTCTAGGGTATGCCAAGGTGCCATGTCCAATGACTCCTTAATAGTGAAATTGTGTACATATGCCTGACAGAGTCGATTGGTGAAGGTTATTGAAATTGATTTCACACCTTTAAAAAATAGCCCCAGGCCTTGCAAAAGATATAAGTCCGTAGCACATCAAGAATTATTTGAAATATATCTTTAATTTTAGAAAAATCAATATGCAATCTACAAAATACTTTGTTACATGATTAGTAAGGCTCAATCTTTTATATTCGTATCGATAGGACACAATCATTTTGAGTAAAACATTGTAATAGTCATATTAAGGTAGGCCTTCTAACTGAATTTATAAGGAAAAGCACAGCTCCAGAATGAAGGGAACTAAAAGTCCTAAAGCTGCCTAATAAATAGACAACGTCAAAAATTCCAGGCTTTATTTGTTGGAAAAATACCATTTTCAAACCTTTCTTAAGATTCCCAGAGAATAAACAATGTTCTTAGACTCAGGCCTGCACAGTTGAGTATGTAAGGATGGAGCCATTTGCACAATTAATAAGACTGTGGTAAGGTGACCAGACCAGACCATGAGAGCAGAGGGACTTGGCACAAACCATCATCTCCTTGAAAGTCTGCCATGGAGGCCATCAAGCAACTGACTCCTAAAACGGTCCAATTAATAAAGTGGCCCACATTAAAATGCTAGAAAAGGAGTAGTTTTATTCCCCCTCTCCTCCCTTAAAAGCAGGGGTTTTCTGAAGATCATGATCAACTTTCTGGCAAAGAAGTTTCTACTTCTTAATCTTTGAGTCTAAATGGACCCAACTGGATTTTTCACCTGGAACTCCAGTCACACTTGACCTCCTGTCATTTCTAAGGTCAGAGCAATTGTATTAAAAAGCTTCTCATCCCCACATGGAATGTTAATTTAACACTAAGTAATGAATATTTAAGGTCCTAATAGATGTGCAAATTAACAATTATGCTGTAGCACCCTGCTGTCAATGCCATCAACCTTTGCATTGTGGCTGAATCTCAATTTGGGCTTTCCTCACTCTTTTGTTACTCTTATTTCCAACACTGACTTTTGAGATGCTCCTGAAAGCTGGGTGGCTTGTAACTAACCTCAGAAGCAAAAGAGCCACAGACACTAGTCAGCCCGTGAGGCATGAGGGGTGATTAACTGAACGCTTGCTGAATTTATTTGAAGGTATAAATATTTATTAAGTGAGTTCCTTATGGGCAGGATGCCAGAGAGCCCACTTAGAAAGGAATGGCAGCAATTAACTAGCTAACTTCCCTGGGATCATGGTGCAGCACCAGACCTGGACCATCTCTCTCTTCCTGAGCCCGAGACGACTGAAGCCATGCCAGAGTGCGCCCCTGCTGGATGATGAGGAAAGACGGGGCTTTTAAAGTTACACACACATGTGCATGTGCATGTGCAGACTTGCCCTGCTATACATGGACAGTGAGTCTTCAGCATGTGATACCATGAATGATAACGCCAGTGAAGCTAAAAAGAGCAGTATCGATTCATTTTTACCATGACTTTTGCAATATGTGTCCTCATAGTAAAAAAGAAAAAGCAATAAAATCTGTTGATTGATACAGACCATCGTGTTTGTTTTAATCTGTTACTTGAACAGATTAAAATGAATGCAACACAGTATTAAATAAAACATAGGAAATAAACTCTGTAGGCCAACAAATAAATGTTATTTGGAAGAACGTTATATCAGTTTTGACTCAAAACAAATCTTGTATATAGGGAAAAATGCCTCCCAATCATATTCAAGACTCAACATAAATTGAAAGTGTGTTAATACCTCCTGGAGGAGTTTGTTTCCCAAACTGTAAAATACTTAGAATATAGATTTCATACATTTTAAAATTCTGACCTGTCACTGTAAATATTTAAAGGAAATTATAAGCAGAATTGTAACTGCTAGTGCCACTAGTTTTTCATAAGAAACTGAGCTACTCTAGTTGTTTCCTGCTTTGAGGAATAGAAATGTTTCCTCTCAGAAATCTAGGTAAAATAATCTAGTGTCTTTTACTTTAGACATGTTTTAAAGAAAAATACTTAAAATTAAGCAGGATTAGCATAAAATAACATGATAGCAGCACCAGCATAAAATAATCATATGATTTAACTGCTATTCGAGAGGCTTGTGTTAATTACAAATACTTTATCAAAATATATTCTGAGTGTACTTTTAGAAAACAATATTCATGAGCTTTAAAAATTCATCTTTAATCTACATAAACATTTCAACTAGTGCCCAATACTCTTATTCCATTTTTTAAAGGATTTCCATCAGCCAAAGGGCAGTGTGTCTTAGTGACCTATACTAAAATTCATATAGCAACAGATATAGCTCTTTGCCACACACACCAGAATGTAAAGACACTTCCAAAATGATAAGCCAATGGGGGGAAGACAGGTACCAAATACAGCCAAAGATTATTTACCAATGTGGCTAGAGGAAAGGCACAGAAATAATTCAAAACCACAGATACTTCCAAATCTGGATTTTATCTGTGGTTTGTTTCAATATCACTCTCTTCCTAAGCATGTTTCAGAAAGGAGGAAGAGAGGAAATGAAGTACTTTAGTTTATGTCCCCTTTGTGCTTTTCCCTGTGGTACAGCAAGAAGAGGTAAGGACGGAGGGATATGGAGCTCAGGTTACTCAAAGTACAAAACAATCAACCACTGAGAGATAAAAAAAATCAAAAACCCTTCAGCTGTGCTGGCTACCAGGTCACGCACTCATTGGATAACAGTGCTTTGAGTTTCAATAGGAAGCAAGACATCACACAAATTACAGGTTTGTTTTAGATCAAACCCAAAGGGCAAAAACATATCAAAAGTATAAAATACAGATGGTTTGGTTTCAGGTTTAAACTTCTCTAAACACAGCCTTTGGACCTGTCCTAAGCCCACTACTCGGAAGTCATTTCCACTATTTCATACAGTCACGGAATTCTGAAATTCCTGCGGTTTCTGTGAATTACAGATTTTACAAGTAGCTTTTGGCATCTCTTCTTGCTGCTCCTACTGTGTGACGCAGCCACCAGCTTTACCGGCGTCTTCTCCATCCGTTTTAATCCATTTCTTTTCTATTTCAACCTGTTACGCAGAAGCAGAACATAGGCCTCATTAGCAGAGCCATGCAGCCCTGACGCCCCTTCAGCCCTCTTCAGCCCCGAGGCACAGCCACAGCCTGATACCCTTCCAGGGCAACTGCGGAGGGGTGTTATGCCCTCTTGTGGGGCAATGGAGCCCCCAATCCTTCCCCAGGGGCCAAATCGAAAGCTCCCTAAGTCATAGTTTTCATCATATTTTTTACTGTAAAATGCTTCTAAAATACGAATTCATTTTAATTTCTTTTTTATATAAAATGCTTGCAGATCCGGCTAGGCATGTGATTAGTCATCCCCACTCCCCAACGATCACATATCTATCCCGGCCCGCCTGGGGTTTACAACACACCCAGAATGATCTCTAACTAGAACAAGCTAGTTTACAGACTAGAAACCCAGTTTCTCTGCCACTTATCATTTTATCTCATTTCAAATGATACCTCCAGGAGACCTCCTGGGAGACCTTAGATAAACAGCCCCTGTTGCTCTCTATCCTGCTGTCCTGGTTTATTTCCTCTCTAGAATCTGTCAGTAGCTGAAACTGTATTATCTGTTCATCTACTAACTGCTTTTTACTCCCCCCAAGCTCCATGAGGACGATGCTGAGTCTCCTGCTCGCTGTCTCTGCCTCTGAAGTCACGCCCAGCACCGTGACACCGCTCGGCAGACACTTGCTACACAGAGGGCAGCGCTCCATTAACGCTAAAGCTGCTTCCTCGTGTCACTTGGCGACTCCTGCTAAAACTGTCCAAGACTGGCATGGCCAATGAGGAGAAACTCGGCATAAAGGAAGCCTCTCTGCCCTGGAGCCACACGTCAGTCCTGTGTCACACTCACACCCCTAGTGCTATAGGTCTGGGCCCCAGGAAGCAGCTCTGGGGTGAAGATCTGTGTGCAGTCACCGGGGAGTGGAGGCTGGGAGGAAGCAAAGCGGACACAGGATCTGCAGGCTGCAGGGCAGCATCTTACAGGCAGCCGCTGGTGCCCTGGGAGGCAGACCCCACGGTGGTCCACAGACTGAGCCCCAGCGGGAGCATCCGTCCATAAGGGGACTCAGGCTGAGCCAAAGGGATGCACCCCTGGGTGGAGCATCTCTCTTAAGCCAGCGCAGTTCCCAGGCAGCATCTCACCATCATCCGTTTTCACAATAGGGAAAAAAGTCATGGAACTCCCAACAATATAAACAGATGGTCCCAAGCAACCCTGACCACCCTGACCATGGGTGTTCTTTCAAAAGGAAGAAATGAAATCAGAGAGGCATTAGTCATGACTGAGATTCCAACAACATGCAGACTTTAAAATGTCAGAAAGTGTAAAGGCTATTCACACCCAAGACAAAACGAAAACACATAGGCAGATATGGTGATGCACACCAGTAATCCCAGCTACTCAGGAGGCTGAGGCAAAAGGATCACAGTATAAACTTTAGACTTAACCACTTATTTGTTATGAACTCTTCAATCTGTGACTTGAAAAGTATTTTCTGATTTAAAAAAAAATACAATGGATCCTTGATTTATAAATTCAATTTGTTCCCGTGGGCTGGTAGTAACTCAAGTTGGTCAACTGCCTTCCCAAAGTCTCTCTCCTGTATAATTTTGGGCCACACTTTCTTCCAGGCAGATCTCAGTGTCCTTAGAGAGACATTGGCCCAGGACTTCTCAACCCTATACAGGAAAGATGTTGTAATGTTCCATCCAGAACCCTTTAAGGGTTAAATCTATATCTGAGACCATCTGGAAGCACAACTGACCAGCATCTGGGTCATAACTCAAGGCTTTATTCATAAGTTAAAACTAAATATCCAGTCATGATCCAAGTTGTTCATATGTTAGACCACTCATAACTCAAGGGTCTGCTTATTTAAATAAAACCAGCAACATATGTCACCACCATTTCAAGATTATTTTGGGAATGCCAAGGCAAAATTTTCCATATAGTTACTATCCTTGATGATAAGAGAGAAAAGTAAATTCAGAAACAGTAAGTGTACTGCACTCTGATTCATCTGGCCCAAGCTGAAGAACTGATGGTGAACATTTAAAACTCTTATAACAATATGTGCACCCATGTTTACAGCGGCACAGTTAGTAACAGCTAAAACTTGGAAACAGCCCAATTGCCATCAACTTGAAACTGCATAAAGAAGATGTGGGTTTTTTTTTTTTAATAAAATGGAGTACTATTCAGCCATAAAGAACGAGAAACTAGAGACATTTATAGCTAAATGGATGCTCATTGAGACCATACTCTTAAATGAAGTAAATAGGACACACATGTGTAAATACTGAATAGTTTCTCTGTTATGAAAAACTAAAAGTGTAAATAATATCCAAATGGTATAAGTGATAATGTGAAATAGGAGGAAAAGGTCTAAAGGAGAAGGGAAAGTGGGAGGGGTAGGGGAAAGCTAAGAAGGGAAAAGAAAAAATATAAGGAAAGGACAAAGTGGAAACAAAGTCCTTATAAATAGGGGAGGGTGGAGGGGGTGAAGGGAGAGGAGGGGACATCACATAAAGGGACACGTTCCCAATGATGAATGGAGCTGTATTGTATACATAAAATGTACCAACAAACTAAATGGGCAAAAAATAAAAATAAAATTTAAAAACTCTTGTAACAGAGTGACTCAGCATTTCCCAAACCATGCTCCACAGAACACTACTCCACAAGACGTTGATATGCGCCTGACACACACCTACCATCAGATAAGATTCCACGGGCAATTAGTTGGAGGGAACTTTGTTAAATTTAACAAGTTTACTGCAGGACTTCTCAGAGCCTTCATTTAACATTAATTTAGTATATGGTATTTCCCAACTTTTTTTTCCCCTTGGAAAAAAAATTATATAAGACACAATATGTTTTGGGAAATTCTACTTTTTTTTTCTTTTTTTGTAGAGGCAGGGTCTCACTATCTAGCCTAGGCTGGCCTTGAATTCACTTTGATCCTCCTGCCTCAGACCCCCAATGGCTGTGATTACAGGCATGCGCCACCATGCCCAGCAAAGGAAATTCTATTCTAGCATGGCAATTTTCATTATCAGTGTGCTTCTAAGATACAAATTCATTTTTAATGTCCTGTTTTCCATTGAAAGCTGTATTATACGTATTCCTCAATACAGACCATCCAGTTTTCATGGCTGAGCTCTTCTCTGGGTTAAATATCATTTCATACAGTCAATCAAGAAGGTAAAGCAAGTATTTAAAGTCAAATCACGGCCCAGCTCTGGAAGTTCCAGTGTGAAGGGAGGGGTTGGGGATATACCTGGAGGTTGTAGCAAGCTCTCTGCTGGATGTGTTTCTGTGGCTGCACATCACTCTCCACCCCCAGAGACCTGACCGCCGTCTGGGAGGCACAGGTCTCCGCCATGGAGAACTGAACAGTAGCAAATGGATACCAGTCCAAGGGAATCTCTTGGTCAGATCCAAGTTCTAGTTTGTACGACAAACAGTGGGGATGATCAGGACCTTGAAGAAACAAAATCAAACTATTTCAGTGGTCACTGGACATTTCTGTTAAACATAAAAGGCACCTCCAATTCCATGAGTGCTGTGGTTGTACAAATTCCATATTAAAAACATTCCATCCAAATCCACAATTGTGCACAAAGTAGGGAGAGTTCCATGTGGATGCAAGTACCAGCTCTAAAAGAAGTGCAACTTTATTACAATACACCTGCACATGTTAACTCTTAAATGTTTTCAGTTACAAGTGTTACTGTTTGCGCTAATCAAAAGATAAGAGTAATATTTATATGAAACATAATTATTTGGCCACAATGTGGTTTAGGTGTGGAAACTTCTCTTAAGCAGATGGAAGAAGCTCTTAGAATAATTCTTCATTCATTCATTTTCTTACCCCTATGCTTGTAGAACATGCAAAGGTAAATTTCTGCTCCCATTGGGTCATAATACTCAGAAACCTGATTTAAAGGTAAACTTGGGGTGAAGGGAGGGCAGGGACAAGGGGAAAAAATGAGAACCAAGACCTGTCATGTAGAGGTACAAGATCCCAACAATGAATGTAACTGTACTGTATCCCTAGAATGTACCAATAAACTCAATTAAAGCTGAAAAAAATAAATAAAAGTGAAACTGAAGGTATTACTACATTTCAGAAAATATTCCAAGTTAAGAATTATTTTTTCAGTAAAACAGACTGTTTTTCACTGCTGAAAGTCTCACTCATGCTTCTGAAAAGCTTTGGCTAGCTCAGAGGTACTGAGTAGAGATGGGTATATTTGTTTTCAATATTTCAATCTAATATTTGTTCTCACTCGGTTGAGCAACTACACTGTGCCAGGCCAGGATCTGTGCCAAGCTCAAGTGTTATGGTCTGTGTCTAGATGCCCCCAAAAGCCTCATATGGACATAGGTGGAACGTTTCAAAGGTGGCTCCATCTAGGGTGTATGGTACTGGGATTAAGGGTGTGGTGTGGGGAATAAAGGGTTTGTGATAACTAAATTAGCCCATTGATTTGTTGAGCATAGTTCTGGGTGTGGATTATGGGAAGGCCCTCCCTGGATGCAAGTGGCACCATCCAAAAGGCAGGTATCCTGGAAAGGATAAAAAGAGAGAGGTACACTGTTTCTGCTGCTGCTGCTGCTGCTGCTGCTTGCTGCTTTGCGGGCTCCTGTCTGCTTGCCATGAACTATTTCTCCTCTGCCATGCCACACTGCCTTGAAGCCACCTGACTCTGGACTGAAACCTCTACAACTGTGAGGTGAAATAAACCTCTCCTCCTTTAACCTTGGTATGTTGGGTATTTCGTCTCAGCAATGATAAAAGTAATTATGAAACAAGGGATATTATTTATATCAATGATTTCAGGTGGATCACTCAAATTGTGTGTGTACACATGAATGCATGTTTGTGGTAATGAGGCAAAAATATTTCCACTGTAGTAACTTTATAAATGACCGTGACCTCATCCCCTTGTTATAACATCTACATATCCAGTGTGATTATCTTTTCTTAAATAAATGTAAGAGATGACTGTAATTTCACAAGCCAGACTAAATTATTATACCACTGACACTGCTTAAAAGAACATTTCATCAGAGTATAGCTGTAGGCACAAGAACAAAAGTTTAAAGGATTTCACTTAATTCCTAAAAGACAAATTGCCTTTCATTCCTTACAACCTGTTTCTCGTAGAGACTAAGAATTCCAAGCTGTAAAAGTCATCCCTCAATTAGCCAACAGATGCTCATTAGCCATTTCTACCACTGGCACGTAAGGTCGACCACAGTGGCCTCAGAGGGGTTCTGGCCCCCTACAGCACCGCAGGCAGGTGATGACTTCATCCCACACATGCACCGAGACCCCCACCTCCATCCAGTATCCTTTCCCAACCTCAGGGGCAGCAAGTTCATTCACATTTAACCCGGGGCTCCCCAGGCCAGGGAGGGGGCACACAACCTCCACACCCGGTGCACACTGAGGCTACTTACCTTCAAGTCTCAGCTTCCCTCTGCAAAGGAGGGTAAGAGTGACCACCCGACCCGCTAAGGCCGTGGTGAGGATTAAGCACAGGGCCAGGCAGGAGCGGATCACGGTGGCACCTGCTGCTCGTGTTATTACTCTGACGAGTGCCACGCAGCTGGAAATCCATCCATCGTCATCTCAGTACTAGAATTGAGCTAATAAAGGAGCTGTGAACACTACACGTTTAGAGTTGAAAATGATATTGGAGATGATCGAATTTGATATTCACGTTTCATAGGAAAAGACTGGGGGAAGTTTTGCCACAAAAACTGAAGGAAAAATTAAATCCAAGTTGAAGGCCTAACACTGCAAAAATGCTAAAAACAAAACCTTTCTGCCTGTTTTTCTAAAAAGCTGGTTGAAGATAAAACAGAATCTTCCTTTCACACTTCCTGAAAATTCTAAACTCTGCCGTGATTACTAGCACATTCTCTCTTTCGACTTTGAGTCCTATAATTAAAAGTATCACGTGTCCCCAGCAGCACAAAGCCAGCATGTTGAGACTTAACCCGTACTTGTCACATGCATGAATGGATATGAATAAAATATACACATTGAACCTCCATTTACATTCATGTTAAAAGAACGTAAAACTAGGGACGATGAGAGGCAAAATGAAACCCCTTAGTTTGTACGACCTTTCCTGAAATGAAAGAGGAAAATCCTGTCGTCTCAGGGCTGACCACGAGTGGGCGCCGTTGGGCTTCGGCAACTGTTATCCTTCAGTAGCATGGGAAATGCTTATCCAAACTTTCCTCGGGTCTGTCCGGTGGATACCAGATCCCTGATGAACAGGAAGTGTTCACATCTGAAACTGAACTACCGAAGGTCGAAGGAATGAACGGCAAGAGGACGGCACAAATGGAGGCCGAAAGAACAGCCAAAATCCGATGACGCAGAGCAGAGAAAAACGAGGAGAGGAGGACAAGCGGGAACTGAAAGAGAACTGCCTCTCCACCACAGCCACTGCCCTCTCCAACTCCGGGCCACCTTTTACACCGCCTTTGGCTAACTGAGTCCTCACGCTCTCTCTCTTTTCCCTTTCCTCTCTTTTTTCCTGGGTGGTTCCTGCTTTGTCATCCTTCACACTTGAGTATGAATGATGGATGACCTACTGCCCTTCACACCCTAGGATGAAGACTACGAGCTACTGACTGCCCAGGCACCATATGCACCATGAAAAACGTGCCCATGTAGCTGTTAAAGGAACATTCTGGGCCAGGGGTTTAGTTCAGTGGCACCGCGCCTGCCTTGCAAGTGAAAGGTCCCGAGTTCGATCCCTGGTACCAAAAAAAAACACACACACACACACACACAAAAAGGAACGTTCAGCACTGACGAGGTACTATTTAAGAGCCATTTAAGGGACCCCTAGTGATTCCAACGTCTCCTGACATCACAGGTCCAGCCTGAGCTCCCAAATTCCCAGGAAGAAAGGCAAAGCAAAAATTTTAATTAACTACTTCATTTTTCTTTCAGTTTCCATGTCCAAAGTATTTCTCCATTAGTGCAAGTTTTTCAGAAACTGAGCTGAAGAGGGTAATATTTTAAAGGCACTCTTTGAAGAAAATCCTCTGTTTGCTAAACACACAACTGATCTGACAGTTACCTAGAGAAACGTGCTGCACCCAGCCCTACTGCAGGGTGTGTGGCCCCAGGACCACAGCAGTGAGATGGAAACACAGGCTGGTACAGTCTACCTTTCACCAAGGCCATCCTGCAAAGGTTAAGAAGCACTGCCCTTGACAAAGATTTCCCTTCGGTCCCAACTTTCCTTTTGCTCTCCATGCCTCATCCGAAGAGGGAGGTTAGAAGGCAGCGAGCCAGCCTCCTGCTCTCTGCATTACCCTCCCACCCCCTAATGCAGAGTCTGGGGAGAGTGCTGAGACACCGCAGGAGTGCCCACCTCTGTGTCTTGCCCCCAGGGGGTTAAAACCAATCTGTACAAAGCACCTCTGACCCCAAAGGATCTGCTCGGTGCATCATCGTTGTGCAGCTGACCAGAACCTTGTAAACCCCGGTTCCAAGTGTGCCTGGGGCCGTGAGTCTGCGGGAAGAGCCCAGCAGGCCAGTCTCTCTGGAATGTCTATTCTGGCCATTATTCTCAGTCAACTCAACTGCTGGAAAAGACCAGGGGAGGAGAATGACAGAGAATGACAGGGACACGTGGGGCAGGGAGATGGCACCTGCCTGGGGCCAGAGCAATGTCACAAGACAGTGACCAGGTTAGCAGCTCTTGCCCGCGCTGCTAGGAGTGTCTTTCACAAGCACCAACCACTAGGCCTCACCCCAGAGTCAGACCAGAAGCTGATGCAACCCAAGCATGGATACAGCTTGAGTAGCCCTTATTGGGGATGCTCAGGACAAGGTTTCAGAATTGGTTTTGGATTTTGTGATATTTGCATATATATAATGTGATATCCTGGTGATAGGACCCACACCTCAACACAAAATTCATGTCTGTTTCACATACACCTTATACCCAGAGACCAAAGGTAGTTTTATAATAAAATAGTCTAATAGTTGTGTACATAAAACAGAGTTTCATCGTGTGAAACTGTCTGCTTATGGCATCAGGTCAATGCTCAAACATTGTTGGATTTTGGAGCATTTTGGATTTCAGATTTTTGGACTAGGGATACTCAACCTGTATGTTTTTCTGCTCTGTGACTCCAACATGTAAGCAGGCTGGGAAACACACTTAAGGCTAGGGATGAGACACAAGGGCATTCCAAGCTATCCTGGCTAACAGCACCACTGCCCTTCTAGTCACCCAAGCCAGACAGACACCCTGACCCGCCCCAGTCCTCTCATAGCCCCAAGTCCATACACAGTCTGTCACTGTCCTGAGGCCACCTCCTCTGACATCCGTCAACCTTCCCCCATCTCCCTTTCATGGGGGCAGAGGTCCCATGCGGGCTGCAGGCGAGATCCTCCTGGTATGTCTTCAGACCTCCTCGTACCCTAAGCGCCGCCCCAGGGGCTCCAATTTAACTGGCACAGAGGGAGCCTGACCACGGAGATTATTTAAAAGCCCTCAGGATATTCTAAGATATGGTCAGGTTTGAGAAACACTGCTATTCATTGGCATCACCCACAATAAAAATACTTCATCTGAAGTCCATGGCCAGGAGAAGCCTAAGATAATCTTAAGTTCTTCTGGAGGACTAGAGGGACCGTGAACTACTAGGAGCCAGTGATCAGTTCTCATCCATCTTTATCCCCAGAACTTGATGTGGCACTTGGTACACAGTGAGTGCCCAGTGAAGACATGAGTGAATGATTCCCCAAACCTGCTCCAAATTTACCTCTGTAGTCCAGGTTTCCATTAGGAAAAAAAAAAACCTCAACATTAACAGGAACAGCTTTCACTTCAAAATGTGCTTTTTTGTTTTATTATATCTACTAACTTATTCTTCTAAAATAAATATGATGTTAAGATTATTTTTAAAGTTCTGAACTTCCTTTGCAAAATTTAAAAATTAACTGCATTTTTAATGCTCAGGTTGTATCTACCTAATCCTAAATCAAGTTAAGTTGGTCAAATGGGTAAATTAACACAAAAATTATGTTGAGTAAAAATGAAAGTCAGTCTTTTCTCAAAAATCAAGAAGCAAAACCTAAAGAATAAGTTATATCAGCTGAGAATACAAAGAAAAAAGTTTAAGTATATTCATGGATGGCAGATGTATACAGCTAAATTGGGGAACCTAAGCTTTATTAAACACATTTTTAATATCTGAGCTTGATATCTAGAAGGCCAACTACAGACATCCAAAAAATTCTCCCTTAGTGCCATCCACAACAGATTCCTAGCCTAGGATTGTAATTCTTACGATATTAAAAAGATGTAAAATGTTAAACATATCTGGTCGAAATTGGCACAAAAGGAAACAAACCAGCTGTTTGACTAAATGTCGCTCTCCTACCTGTCTATGTAAGCATAACCTCAGCTGACAAGTGACCATCTGACTGGCTCTGTCTGGTTTCAACCCCAGGATGAGAGGGAAAATATTTAAGCTGTTTCCCATGAAAATCAATATAGGTGCTGCATATTTACTTGAATTTTTATCAGGAAGCCGCTCTATCTTCCACACCACAGCCCGGTAGGCACTCTCATATTTTGCTGACCCCACAGTGACGTGAATGACAGGTTCAGATTCAGGTTCATGTAAATTCCCTAGACACGATGGGCGGTTCATTTTGGCCTTCAGAGACTTCTGCCTCTGGAGGCTCATGGTCCAAAGGGCCTTGATCCACTGAGATGGGACAGGAAAGTGTATCATTACACTGTCACAGCACCTCAAGGACCCGGTGTGGGATGGCCTCTGAAGGGACGGGACCATGTTGACAAAGGCCTGAAGCTCCACGTACGCCCCCTGGACTACTACCACAGACTTCACAGAAAATGGAAGATCGTCCCCGTGATACAAAGTCTTGAATCGCATAAGCTCAAACCGGCAGGCATCCAGAGGCACGAACTTAATGATTCTAGTTTGCTCAAATTCTTGTCCTTTCACACACTTGTGCAAATGATAGTCAAGAATATCAATCCACTTTTTTTCTGGATCTTTTTCAAAACAGCATTCATCTCTCTTTTGCAGCTCAGGGTCATTCAAGGTTAAAAAGCATTCCGTGTTCCCGTTCACAAAGCAGAGGCAATAGATTTGAGTTATCACGGCACTTTCAACCAGTTTCCCATCTTCCTTTGTGACTTTGCCCCAGAAGTTGTCCACAATTTCCAGAGAAATTTCTTGCTCCTCATAGTTCTTCTTTGGTTTTGAAACAGTTGGCAGCTTCATCAGCTCCTCCTCCATAGTACTCAGAAAGTCAAGGAAGTCACGGTACTCCAGAGACCCCAACTTCAGCATCTGCTCTGCATCTGGTTCATGAACTACTTCCATCTTAGAATGGTATTTCCTTTTTTCTGTGTAAGACACATGTTCAATCTTCACAGTATGGATTTTTCCTGCCACATTAAAGTTCTCTACTTTGGGTTCAGAAAGCCTGCAATGTGGATCAAGCTGTAACTCTTTGAATGGTTTCTCTAAACCCTTCTCATAATACATTTGCAAGATTCCTCCAGGTAAAACTTTCAGAAAAATTGGTCCCCACTGACGGGAAGACATCATGTTCTTCTTCTCGGGAATTCTCAGCATGAAAGACCATCCAGCTTTGGGCTGACTCCTGAAGAGCGTGTGGGGGACAAAGGAAGATGCAGAGTCTTCAGCATAGGGACACTGCATAGACACACTGCCAAGAGGGTCTTGGTTCTCAGCTGACTGGAGGTGTTCAAGTTTCTCACAGATGTAGTTGAGTGAACATTTATTTAGGCTTTTTTGATCCATTGGCATCCCCTTGTCTCTTGGTGAAATCGTCTTTCTGCTTCTTGAGGGGTCAAAGGCGAACTGAGAAGCACAGCATTCCTCTTTCCAAAATGGACTTGAAAATGCACAGGCCTCCTGAAAATATGGAAACTGGGAAGCATCACTTTGGACCCCTGCGTTTTCAGCCTGCTGAGGGCAAAGTTCATCTGGAAGACCTACTGCGGCAGCTGGAATTGTACAAGAGAGGTCATTGGGTAAGAAAGCCTGAGATAAACAGGTTGGTTTAGCAGACAATAAGGAAGAACTTGCTCCTGCTGGTGTGAGTGTGCTGTTTGCAGAAGATTCTGGGATAGGATAAAGCACATGAGTCCCTACTTTAGGTATACCAGGAAAACCTGGGAAATCTTTGGTAGGTGTAGAAAGAGGAGAATTACTTGGCGGTCCTGGGCTGAAGTAAAAATCAACAACAGGAGAGGAGAGAGGGGTGCTGCTGGTCGAGGATGATCCACTGGGGAATTCTTTGAGGCCAGGAAGGTTCAGTTTCAGCCCATTTGGTCTACAGACACCTTGATTCTCCAGAGGGAAACTCCTTGACTTTTGAGACTGAAAAGCAGAGTCGTCATCAAAAGTGACCCAATTGCTTGGGTTCGTGGAACACATCTTCAGGATTATGTTGTGGTTTTGCCAAGGAATCAGATATGTTGTCTCTGTTAAAAGAGAAAGAGAAAACAAGAGCACAAAGTAAAGAGGAAAAGAAAGTTATTGCTTGGCACACTAGCACATGTCTGTAATCCCAGCTATTTAGGATCCTGAAGTCAGAGGATCACAAATTCAAGGCCAGATTGGACAATTTAGTTAGACCATGTCTGTCTCAAAATAAAAAATACAAAGGGCTGAGGATGTAGTTGAGTGTGAAGGCCCTGGGTTCAATTCCTAGTACTGCAAAAAGGGAAAAAAAAATAGAGTTCTTTATTTCTGAGAAATACTTAGATGTAAAAGCGCACATATATCCTGAATGTGAAAAAATACTTAAAAAACAAGAACTCTTTTGATGGCTGAATACATTTTTTAAACAATAATCCAAGTAGGTGCTGTCTACCAGAGACTCGCTTTAGGGTTAAGAATGCAAAGACTAAAAGTAAGGGGCAGGAAAAGATACCCCACACAAATAGAAACCAAAATAGAGAAGAGGGGGGGTGCACCGAGAGGGGATCTGGAGTATCCCCAAAGGCACTCGTGTTGAGGCAGGGCCCTCAGCTCCTAGCCCCATTGAGAAGTGGTGCGGCCTTCCGATGGGGCCGGGAAGGAGGTAGTCAGATTCAGGGGGTGTGCCCTTGAAGGGGCTCTGAAGTCCCACCTGTCTCTCTCACACAAGCTCCGAAGTAAATGGCTTCTTGTTCCATGTGCCCCACAAGATGGCGCTGCCTGCCACGGGTCCAAAGCAACAGACCAATGGGCCTGGACTGAAGCCTCCACAGCTCTGAGCCAAAAGAAGCCTTTCCTCTTTTAAGTTGATTACTTCAGGTATTTTCTTATAGTAACTGAAAGCTAGCACAGGGGGCATTCTTATATTAAAAAAAAAAAAATTAAGTCAAAAACTGTTACAAAACACTGAAGAGGAGATTTTATAATGATAAAAGGGTCAACTCACAAGGAAAATGTAACAATTATAAATATATATGAACACAACATCAGAACACCAAAATGTATGAAGCAAACCTTGACAGAAATGAAGGATGCAATAGCCAATCATTCAGAGAGATCAATATCCCAAATATAACATCCAGTGGGAAGGTCAATAAGAAAACAAAGGACTGCAACAACACCGTAGGCCGAATGGACCTATTCAGACACAGAACATTCTATTCCTCTGTCACAGAATGGATACACATTCTTCTCAAGCACACACAGAATATTTGCCAGAACAGAGTATACTAGGTCACAAAACAAGTCTTAAATTTAAGAAGACTGTAATCAGACAAGTATCTTTGCCAGCCGCAATGGAATTAAACTCTAGAAATCAGAAGGAAAGCTGGAAAATTCACAAATGTATAGAATGAAGCAATATATAACCCAAATAATGGATAAATTGTATCTTCATACAATTACAAAAAGGGAAATTAGAGACTATCTTGAGACACATGATGATGAGAAACAAAATATAACAAAACTTATAGTGAAAGCAATACTAAAGGGGAAGTTTATAGCCATAAATGCATCCATAGTATGAACAACTACATGCAACAGATGGGATAACTTAGAAGAAGGATATATTCCTAGAAACATACAACCTACCAACCCTGCATCACAGTGTCCCTTTGGCAGCCCATATACCAATACTGAATCACAAAGAAAGAAAATCTGAACAAATCAATAGTAGGAAGACTGGTTTAGTAATAAACACAACGAAAGTTCAGGACCAGATGGCTTCACAGCTGAATTCTACCAAACACTCAAAGAAGAATTAACCCCAATCCTTTCCAAACTTAAAAAAAAAAAAAACTGAAAAGGACAGAATACCTGCAAATTCACTTTACAAGGGCAGCACTCTGATACCCAAGCAAAGCAAAGCAAACTGCAAGTAAACATTCCACATGAACAGAAATGCAAAAATATGCAATAAAATACAGTATTTGAAAATCAAATTCAACAGCAAATTAAAAGGATCCTATACTATAACCAACTGGGATTTATCCTTGAGATGCAAGGATGGCTCAATATACAAAAATCAATCAATACAACACATCACATTAACAGAACAAAGGACAAAATTCAGGTGATCACTTCAACAGACAAAATAAAGCATTTGACAAAAGTTAACAGCCTTTCATGACAAAAAGATTTGACTAACCAGGAATAGAAAAAAATTACCTCAGCTAACATCATCCTCAACAACAAAAGTCTGAAAGACTTACCCTAAGATCAGGAACACCATTAGAATTCACAGTGAGGGAAATTAGGCAAATAAATAAATAAATGTTAACAAAAGGAAGAATTAAAATTATTTCTGTTTACAGATGACATGATTTTATACATAGAAAGCCCTCAAAATTACACACACACACCACCTGTTGGAACTAAAAAGCAAACGAGGCAAAGCTGCACGACACATAATAAACATATAAAGTTCAGTTGTATTTCCATACACCAACAAAAGCAATTTAAAAATGAAATTAAAATAATCACATGCACAAAAATATCAAAAAAGTACTTAGGAATAAAAATAACCAAGGAGCTGGGAGTGGTGGCTCATGCCTGTAATCCCAGCACTCGGGAGGCTGAGGCAGGAGGATTGCTGCAAGTTCTAGACCAGCCTGGGCTACATAGTGAGTTCCAGATCAGTCTCAACTACACAGTGAGACCCCGTCTCAAAAAACCAAAAAAAAAAAACCAAGGAGGTAAAAGTGATATGCATTGAAAACTATAAAATGTCCCTTTAAAAAATTAAACAGGGCGCAAGTAAAAAGACAACACTTGTTCAAAGATTGGAAAATTTAAAATTGTTAAAAACATCCATACCACCCAAAGTAATCTATAGATTCAATGCAATTTCTATCAAACTATCAATGGCATATTTTCAGAAGTTAAAAAAATCCTAAAATTTATATGGAACCAGAATGAATTCCCAAATAGTCTTTTTTTTTTCTAGAGGAAAAATAAGCTGAAGGACTCAAGTAATTTATATCAAAAGATATTACAAAGCTCAGATAATCAAAACAGTATACTGGCACCAAGGCAGACGTAGAAACCAAAGTAATAGATTATATTTTATACAGTCCGAAAAGAAATCTGTAAAATTATCCCTGACAAGGGTACCGACATTCCACACTGGGGGAAGGATAGTCTCTGTCAGCAGAGGTATTCAGAAAATGAAATGCACACACAAGAGTGAAACTGGACCCTTAAGTCATACTCAAAAATCAAGTTAAAAAAGGATAGAAGTCTAAGTATAAGACCTAAAAACGTAAAACTCCTAGAAAAAAAACCATGGGAAAATCTTCACAGCAGTGCTTTTGGTAAAGATTGCTTGGATGTGGCACCAAACTGAAAGCACACAAATGAGATTGCATCAAGTCAAAAAGCTGTGCACAGCAAAGGAAACAAATAGAATGGGAGAAAATATCTGCAAGCCATACATGGAAGGGATATAATACAAATATATACAGAACTCAATTCAATAGTAAAAACATCTCAATTTAGAAATGGGCAAAGGACTTAGACATTTCTCCAAAGAATGCATACAAGGGCCAACCTGTATATGAAAAGATGCAAACCATCACTCATCACTGGGGAAATGCAAATCAAAACTATGAGCTATCGCCTCACATCTGCTAGAACGTCCATGATAAAACTAAGCAAACAAAGGAAAATAACAAGTGTTGTCAGTGACGCATAGAAATTGGAAGCTTGCACAATATCGAATGTAAAATGGTCCAGACACTGTGGAAAACAGTATGGGATATAGCTACATGATCTAAATAACAACCTCACTTCTAGGTATTTATCCAAAAGAAATGAAAACAGGAGCCAGGTATGGTGATACAAACCTGTGATCTCTTGGAGGCTGAGACAGGAAGATAAAAAGTTCAAGCCTAGACTGGGCAAATTTATAACTTAGTAAGACCTTGTCTCAAAATTTTTAAAAAAATGAAATGCTGGGGATGTAGTTTAACATGAAGACCCCAGGTTCAATCTATAGTATCATTAAAAATATTGAAAACAAGGATCGTGAAAGATTATTTGCATACCCACATTCACTGCACCATTATCCATAATAGCAGGTGAAAATAACCAAATGTCCACTGATAGATGAAAGCATAAAGGAAACATAGCATATGCATACAATGGAATATTCTTCAGCCATAAAAAGAAAGGAAATTCTGACCCAGATGAGCCTTGAGCTACAGCACAGATGAGCCTTGAGCACCTTATAATAAGCAAAATAAGCCAGTCACAGAAAGACTTATACAAGGTATCTAGGGTAATCAAATTCATGAAACAGAAGTAACATGGTGGTTATCAGGGGCTAGTGAGGAAGCAAATGGGGAGCCACTGTTCAGTGGGTATTGAGTCTCATCCAAGCATAGGATAAAGCTCTAGAGACTTGCTGTGCAGTAATGTGGATGTAGTTAAAAATACTGTAGCGTATACTTCAACATTTGTTAAAAAGGTAGATCTCATGGGGTTTTACCACAATTGAAAAGAAAAACTGTAATATTTTTAATCATTAAATCACTAAGTCTTGCCAGGGATGCAGCTCAGTGGCACACCTGCCTAGTAAGTGCAAGATCCTGAGTTTGATCCCCAGGACGAGAAAAAAAAAATCACTAAGTCTTTAGCTGAGTAATTACTAGGTACCCAGACCTTGCTAGTGCTATGGAAAACACAGGAGAAAAACTAAACATCCAATTTAATAACCCACTGGCAGACGAAGATGACAGGAGGTTTATAGTTTAGAAGCATTTTGAAATTCATGATCTTGTTTATCAAAATGACCTGTGAAGTATGTTATTATTAATCCTGTTTCATAGTTGAGATTCCTTGGGTGTAGCTCCACTGACTAACCCAGCCAGTAAGAGATAGAATCAGGCTTTTAAGAAAATAACAGCTTTATTGCGATATAACTCACCATAAAATCCACCCTTTAAAAAAAGTACAGTTTAGTGGGTTTTTAGTATATCAAAAGAGTTGTGCAAGCATCAGTACCTAATTCCCGAACATTCTTCCCCTGACTCCAATAAACCCTGCACCTATTAGCGCTCCCTTACCATCCCCAGCCCCTTCTTCTAGGCCCTGTCAGCCACTAATCTGTTTTCTATCTCTATGACCTTGCCTTTTCTGGGCACCTCATAGAAGTGGAATCATTCGACATACGGCTTTTTGTGTCTGGATTCTTTCCCTCACCACCTTTTCAAGGTTCATCTGTGTTGTAGCATGCATTAGTCACTTTCCTCTCTTTGCTGAGAGAAAATACTCAACAGCCAAAGTAAAAGGGGAAAAGGTCTATTTGGTTCACAGTCTGTAGGTTCCAGTCCATAATTGACTGGATGCAAGGCAGGGTGGCAGAGGGACAACAGTTCAGGGCAGTGGAAGGCAGCAAAAGCAACAAGGGAGAACCTAACAGTGTCTTTCTGCCTCTTTTATTTTATTTAGACTACTTAGAGCAGGCAGCACACACATCCTTAATCCTACTGCCCTTGAGCCTACCACTGCACCACGAATCTATTCCACCCTCACACATTAGATCCAGTCATCTCTGAAAAAGCCCCACCTAAAACCACATGAGGCTCTGCAGGGGACATCTACACACAGCCATAACACAGCACGTTTCACCGCTTCATTCCTCTTTACGGCTGAACCACATCCCACTGTGTGGCTATTCCACATCGTGTGTATTCATTCACCAGTTGGTAGACATTTTGGGTTGCTTCACTTTTTAGCTTTTATACATAATGTTCCTAAGAATATCTGTATACAAGTTGTGTGTGATCGCTTTGCTCGAGTAAATACCTAAGTGTGTGAAGACCTGGGATTTGAACATAGGTCACTTCAGTCCAGTCTGACAGGACACAGACTACTGAAATTACTTCAGTGACACCAGAGGTGATGAGCTGTACGGAGCACAGCAGTGAGCCGGTGCGGTGACCTGAATGCTGGGCCCTGCTCTGTCCCTTGCTAACTGTGTGTGCAGGCCCTGAAGACAATCAGTGGTTGCACACAGTAATCTCTGGGGTCTTTCCCTAGTCTAAAACAATTCTACGGTAGTTGACATCTGATTGAAAATTTTGTCGAAAGCAGAAACTCTGTTACCTCTAAGTTCGTGGGCCTTAGTGCTCGGGTTTTTAACCATGCATCCAAGTAATCCACAGAAAGAAAATAAAACCGCAGAAGGTCTACTGATGTGAAAACTTAAAGCTCAGTGGAACAATGCTTGCGGAAGGGCCTATTTCTCTCCTTCCAGCCCTCTCCCTGTGGATAAGGAAGGATCAACCAATGCAATCATTCAAGCTTGAGTAAAAGCCAAAGCTAAAGAGGTCAAGTGCTTAGGGCTCTGGTGAGGACCGATCACGGCTGGCCCTTGCTGTCACTGCGGCATCTGCACATACCCAAGGGCACAAAGGCACACTGCAGAGCAGCAGCTTGCTGGCTCGGAGAACACTTCACTGTTGCTGCCACAAAGCCCTCTCCCCTGGGGCAGACAGAGCAGTGCACCTGGGGGCCGGGGACAGTCCTCATCCCGTCCTCTTTAGAAGGAACCCAGCCAAAACAGTTCTGTATGTAAGATGATAGATCAGATCATGCAAATACTTATTTTAGTTGCATTTATTCAGAAGGAATAATAAGAGAGAGATGATCAAGGGAAGAAATCACTTTGCTTCAGCCCAAATACTCTCTGACCTACACCACTTTGCCGCATTCCTTTCCCCTTGGTTGCTTTGCAGAGTGGAACATAGGTGTTAATTTCTTTAATTTTTGCTTATTGACAAACTTAACTTCATAAGCCAAAGGAAACCAATCCCATTAATTTGTAAATGTCCCTAAACTTTTTAAAAACACAACTTTTAAAAAATTAGCAACCTTGAACCCCAAATTCATGCAGGAGTCTTCCCAGAGGGCACTCAGCAACCATGATGAGAGCTTCACTCACGCAAACGGCCTGGGGACTGTGTCCAATGAGAACCCAGACCTCTGTCCCTGCCTCCAAGGCAGGAGTTTGATGCAGTTCTGCACAGAGCAGTGGAGGCTCAGGCTCCGCTGTCAGGGGCAGTTTTGTTGCCCTCAGTGACTCCTCTTTCTCCCCTCCTCTAATACTCTTGTTGACCCCCCACACACAATTAAACCTAGAGCCTCGAACTAAGATACATCACCAGCCCTTTTCCTTTTTTTAAGCAATGTCTCTCTGAGTCACTAAGTTCTTCAGGCTGGGCTCAAACTTGTGATCCTTCTGCCTCCATCCTGCCAAAGTGCTGAAATTATAGTCTTTCACCACCACACCTAGCTGCGCTCTCTTTATCATGCTTTTTTACACTCCCCTCCATTTCTCCCTTACCTCTGTCACCCCCATCCTCTGATATCTTTCTATTGTTTTCCCAGGGCTCCACCAGCAGGCCTGGAGTTAACAAATAGGACCGGTCCATCCATTGCTCTCCTTCCCTCCTCACCCTCTCACAGGAAACGGTGTCACCACTGAGCCAAGACCCTGCCTGTCCAAAGCTCACGGGGTCCCAGGAGGGATGCGAAGGCCCATAGCAGGGCCAGGTATCTCCCTTCAGTCATCTGTTCCAGAGTCCAGCTCCAGAGACACAAAAGTCTTCCTGGAACACCTCCTGAAACCCCTTGTGTTTTGTGATGTTTCGGTCCACAATGCAAGCAGTGTTATGCCTAGATCTGGACCTTTGTCCCCCAGGGGACTCTAAGTCCAAGATGTATTACCGTGGAACTGTCTGAAACCCACTTCTGAGATTGGAAGATTTTTAAGGAGAATATTTGCTTCCCTTTAAAATGGTTAATTATTCTTTATAGCTGCCTGTTTTGAAAGCAGTATCGGAATATACTGAGTTCATCTTCTACACAGTTGGAAATGTAAAACGAGTACTATCACTACTGAAATCAGTGTGGAGATTCTGTGAAAAACTGAAAATAGAAATTCCACGTGATCCAGCTATTCCCCTTCTAGGCATCTTTCAGAAAGAGTGGAATACATCATAGTACAGAGATACACGCATACTCATGTTCACCAGCAGGTGAATGGTTAAAGAACTTGTGCTGTTTACACACCATGAAGTACCACTCTGCCATAAGGAAAGGTAAAACTGAGTCATTTGTGGGAAAATGGATGCGCCTTGAGACCATAACGTTAAGTGAAATAAATCAGACACTCAAGCTTAAATATCACATTATTTCTCTTCTATGAGAACCCCAGAGCAAAAGTAAAGAACAAAGTAGAAGATAGAAAATAGGAAGTGAGAAGGTAAATCTTTCTCAAAGGGAAAGTGGATCAAGAGAGGGAAATGGAGGAAGGAAGGGATGGGGTAAAGAAGGAATTGGGCTGTTCTATGTATAAGTACCAACTCCACACAAGGAAGGTAAACTACACACCTGTATCTAATAAACTGCACACCCGTATGTACGACAACCTGGCCTAATAAACTAAAATTTAAAGATAAAATGAAAGAACATACTGAGTTCAAGAACTAAGAGTAGACATTCGCCTGTTCACAGTGGGAATAGCAAGGATGTAGGAAACTGATTTCAGCCTTAGACCTCAGCAGCTGGGAAAGGCCTTTGGAAGCACAGTACATTCTCCTGGACAGGGCAAGAGTTAGCCATCCCCATTTATGGGAGTATAAAACACACCCTCAGAGGATCAGCAGCAGGAGAGGATGACGAGGCCACAGCAAGCACAAAGAGGCTGGGCTTGCCCTCATTCCTGAACTACACCTTCCTGCCACTTGAGAAATATCAGCATTCTTAAAGGAATACTACGGAGATGATCATGAATTGACTCCATATTATCTTAAAAAGTAAATCAAAGATAGCAATAAAATAAGCCTTATGAATAAGAAGCACTGGTACGAAAAATGGTCTCACCAAAAAGAACTGTGGATAAAAACTTTCTACTCATCATGGGTAAATGTCATACATTCTTTAAGAGTCAGAGTAAAGTCTTGTCAAGAAGGAATCACTACTTTTTAAGGCATTTTCTATGCTTCCTATAAATGCCTGACAAAATTTTGAACCTCACAATACATTTTATTAAGTAATTGTCTTTTTTGCTTTTCTGCAAAATAAATCTCTACACTGTTTTCCCAGTTCAAAGAACCACTGACTTTGAGTTAGAAAGAAAATGGGGAGATTGTGCTCAATTACCCACACTAACAAGCATTTAGCCATCAGTATATGCTCCTGGTTTGCCAGGGGCTGGATGTGCATAGCCTTATTTAATACTCACAACTCATCATTTGGTAAAAGGAGGAAACAAGGTTCAGAGCAGTTAAACTGCTTACCTAAAGAGCCAGTAAGAAGCAAAACCTGAACTCTGACTAGGTCTATCAGATCCCAGAGTCCAATACCCAGGGGTCCTGAAAATATCAATGACTTGCTGGTGTCGCGTGTCCTGCCGTCTCTGAGTACTCTCTGCCACACCACTCCTATTTAAGAAAACAGCACCAAACTAGAACTATCCCTTCCTGGAGGCAGGAATTGTCTAAATAGGACAGAGCCTGCTCTCATCAGAGAAGAACCTGTTTCTCCACCAAGCCTACCACACATATCTGCCCTGGACCCCAGGCTGTGGGAAAGACAAACTGTGGGCCGCTTTCCCTCAAGGCTGCTCAAGAACAACAGCCCAGCATCAATTCCAGTCACTTGTGAGAATGGATTTCACAACAGCCTGCCTTGTTTCTTTTCCCTTGTCTGCCTCAGCTGGCTCTTCTATGCTTCTACCAACTTGGAACTGTTGTCCTGCAGGTGCCTTGAGTGCCCCCTCTCCCCTCACAGCCGTCTTGGTATACTGCTGGATTCTCCAAACATTGCCTAAGTTCCTCCTTCCCATATCAACCTCCAACCTCCTCTACCCTGCTGTTTTTTATTTTTTCAGAGATGATTCAATGAAATATACATACAAAGTTCTACCTTTTCCTGTGGATTTTTGAAATCCGATCAGATGTATTTGGTTAGAGAAGCAGCATTCCAGGTTGCTTGCATTCGAAGACGTCTTCCCCGCTTCAGTGCGTGCCTGTGGAGAACATCCTCTAATATGGTCCCTCACATCTGGTTCTTCTCTATCTGCCAGATGTTGAGGGAGGGCTGTGCTGAGGAGGTGCCTGGCAAAGTTTCGAAATCCTCACCAAGCCTATCAAAGCCTCCTGGCCTTTGCCACAACCCAACTGTCCCAGTTGGGCTGAATCCTCCTCAAGCCTCAGGAACACATCTGGACTCACAGGAACAAGCTGGCCTTTGCAGAAGGCTGATTTAGTCTTTTATGCCTATGACTTTCTGCTCTGTAACAATGCTGCATAATCCAGAGAAAGAATGCCTTCATCTCAGTATCTATGTACTTTCACTGGCTGCTCCCCGAATGTGGAATTCTCAGACTCCTGTGGTGCCAGACTCCCCTGGGCAACTCAGCAACCAGACAAGCTGCATGTGCAAAGCCTCCATCCTCTCTGGTGCAGCTGGAGGGCTGCAATCCAATTATCTTCACTGCTTCTCCAGGATGCAAATCAGGCAAATAAAGCCAAAAGTGGGGTGAGACAATGTGTAAAAAATGCATGGTGAAGAATATTTGGGGTGTGGCCGTGGGGATCGAACCTGAGAGCTCAAATGTGTTAGGCAGGTGCTGTGCCACTCGGCTATACCCCCAGCCCAAGAATCTTCTTAAATTTTGCTATTCCAGGCTGACAGTGGTGGTCCACACCTGTGGTCCCAACACTCAGGAGGCTGAAGCAGGAGGATTGCTGCACATACTCAGTTCAAGACCAGCCTGAGCTGCATAGAGAAACCTTGTCTCAAAAAAACATTTTTTTTTTTTTTGCTGTGAGAATATTTCAAGTATTATTCCTACAGAAGTTTTCCCTTTAATGAGAAAGTAAAAGCTTGAAACAGAAAGAAAACATAAGACTGAGGAAAATGAAAAAGCCTTATGTTTCAGTCATGCAGAAGGACTGAGGATGCATGAGCCATGCTATTAGCACATATGTTCTGCAGCCTGTAATAATCACAAACATGTGGTATTTAGTTCAGCTATGTGACAGGAAATACTATTTGTAAAATATTAAACCTCAGCATAATCTGTCTGTGCCTTCAAATCTTACCAGCACTGGTTCCAGCTCAACTAACTGCCCTGGCCCTTCCTGTGACAGTTAATCTTCAATTTTCCACCATGAATTTGGGTCCTTGTTATTTGTTTAAACTTGTTTTATAATGTGTCCATTTCCATAATTTCAAAATGTGACTGAATTCCAGGCGGACCCAGAGTTTACTTCTTGAACAGACCTGTCAGCTTTGACCTATAAACACTTGAGCAAACACAAACCAAAGCTGCTAACGGCTCAGGGCCCAGTCCCAGATGACACTGCCCACTTAAAGCACCTGACAAAAGGCATGGCCGCCTAAAGAGTTGACTGTTTCAGCCAACGCCTGGAGACCAACAGGGTACCCACTGGGCTCAGAAGGAGGATGGGCACTAATTTGGATAAATGCCAAGCTGCACACCCAAGCAGGGTCCACACTGACCCACCTTCTTCCCTCTTTGTGCAATCCTCACTTCCCGACTCCATGGAGCCCTTCTCTCTTTGCACAAATCCAAGGTGAGCACTTCATACGGACTCTTTTCCCTATGGCAGCTGCCATTACCAGAGAAAATCTCTCCTCACAACTTTCATGTTTATCTCTGACAGGAGGATGACAGAGAGCAACCAGGCCAGCCAGTCCTCAGAGGGGGTCTCTATGTGAGCGAAGACTCAGTTGAGTAAGCGTTCTAGGTTTTGTTTTGGTTTTTGGTTTTGGTTTTGTTTTGTGGTGCTGGGGATCAAACCCAGGGCCTCATGCATACTTCCAGTCCTAAAATTTCACTACAATTGCCACAACATTTTATGAAGTATCCACACCATGTTCCTAATACTGCCGTAGAAGCTACAGAAACTTGATAAGTAAACAGTGATCTCTGAGCCTCAGTGTCCTCATCTGTAGAACAGTAATATTTATATTTCCCTCATATTAAAGTGCCCATAATAGGTACCCCTCTAGGCTAGTTTTTCCTCTCTCCTCTCCCTTTCTATTTCCCTACTGCACCTCCTGTAGCCTTTAGAACACACATCCTCTCTACTCAAAAGGAAGTTACAGAGCCCTAACTCTGGAGCTGGAAGAAACATCAGGTTAACTTTCTATAAATCCATTTCTAGAACTGTGTCTCCATTCTGCCTAATTTACAGATGGTGTCTTTACAAGGCATGATCAAGTATACTGTACGGTGAATGCTGCGGCCAAATGCCATCCAACACAAAGGCAGGCTCATAGAAATATCATAAATGTCCTCATCCACCTTATTCACAAGATTCGGCACAACATAACTTCTGACTCTTCCCCAAAGTCAAAATGACCACAAAAGAGGAACGTTTTGAATGCATTCAGGACAAGGATGTAGCCCCAGCAATGCAGCTAAAAACACTCACAAAAGGCAGCTTCCAGAACTGCTTCAGACAGTGGAAAGAACAACAGGGTAAGTGTGATCGACATGAGGGGACTACAGGGAGGCTTAACAGCAATGTCTTTCAGTATAATCAATGTTTTAATTTAAACACATACCATATTTTTCAATCACACCTCATATGACCATGCCTCTGCACGGCCCTGTGATCTGATCTTGCAATCTTACCTTAATCCCTTGCATGGGTTTCTCCTCCGTTACCAGCTGAATGTTTGTGCACCCACAAAATTCACAAGTTGCAACCCTCATCCCAATGTGACTGTGTTTAGCGATAGCTGTGGGGTGGGGTGGGATAGGTGAGGAGGGTGAAGCCCTCCTGAATGGGATTAGTGCCTTATAAGAGGACGAAGAGGGCACTTGCTCATTCTGCTCTTTGAAGACTCAGGAGAAGTGAGCAGTTTGCGGCCTGTCAGAGGCCCCCACCAGAACGCTACCATGCCAACACCCTGGCTCAGTCACCAAGTTCTGGAAAACAGTGTCTCCCAAAATGGAAAGAAGTTAACAGGTACGGGAAAAATGACCCAGGACAGGATGCACCGGGGAAGTCCTCGGGGAAAGGGCTGACAAGTATCCTCCCGGCCAACATAAATGTTCTCACGAGCCACTAGCAGGAGGGAGAAGCTCACAGCTCTCCTCAAGAGCCCACTGGCAGGTGTGCTTCAGAACACCGTAACCTGCAGCTAGAGACCACAGTCATTTTAACTCTGGACACTGCAGCTCTTTTGTTATGTTGCCAGTTTCTCTGTCAGGACCTCAAGTTCTCTGTCTGACTCTGGGACCATAGCAGCTTTTTCTCCCCTAGTTCTGGGGACCGGACACAGGGATCTGTGCATACTAGGCAAGGGCGCTACCACAGCATGACATCCTAAGTCCTTTACTTTTATTTTCAGATAGGATCTCACTATGTTGCCCAGGCTGACCTCCAACTTGCAATCATTCTGCCTCAGCCGCCTGAGTAGCTGTGTGGTAGTGTGTACCACCATGCCCAGCCTGCAATGGCTTCTTGGACAAGCTTCAGGCACTGGTACTTTCCCTAGAACGCAAGCAGTCCTCACAGTGGGACACAGCTCCACGTAGGCCGTGGCTGGAATGATCTCTTGCCTTTGGCCAAAGCAAATATGTAAGGGCTTTCTTCTCCAGGGCATCCTGCACTGTCTCTCTGTCAGGACTAAGGCCTCGCACTCTCAGACCCTGGTCTCGCCTCACCAAGGAAAGGAGCCCAAAGAGGGAGTGCACCCTCCCACAACATGGGGCCCTGGGATGCTGTAAGATGCCCAGCGTGCACCCTGCCTGTCTCCTCCACCCCATGTCTCCACACATAGCCGTCACCCTGCACAGCACAACTTAAGTCAGCACAGCATCAGGAGACTTTAAACAGAATCAGGAAAAGGAGGGATTAAAAGTGACACAGCCCTCTACACCAATGGTGGTGACTGAAAACCTGGGTCCATGATTGTTAACCACAACCCAAGACTGAGCCCCACTCTGGACCAGTGGTTCTCAACCAGGAGTGACTCGCCTTTCCAGGGACAAGGGGAGTGTCTGGAGTCACTGTTTGGTTGTCAGACCAGGGGTGTCTGGTGCTACTGGCGTCTAGAAAGTAGGGGCCAGGGATGCTGCTAAGCTCCTCCAGTGCACAGGAGAGCCCCACTCCAAAGAATGATCCAGCTCAAACTGGGAGCAGTGCTGATGCTGAGAGGGCCGAGGAGCTGGCGAGTGGCGGGGGGCAAGCCCAGAGTCCCCCCTCTGCGCCTGACTACTTTGCAGACAATGAATCAGATTTTGAAATTTGGCCCAACCTGAAAATGGTGCTGTCAGAACTGACGCCTGTCTCAAGCCCTTTCCATTAATTACACCATGCTGACCAACAAGGCAGAAGTCAGAACAGGACATAGGGCAGACAAAGGGATTTTTAGAAGTCAGAAGACTTAAATGACGGTAAAGAGAATCTAGCACTTTGAATAGCACAGCCCCAGAGACAGTCAAGAAGAGGGCCTTGTGTTACACAATTGGTCCGTCTGAGGTACCTCCAAGTGAAAACAGAATCTCAGAGAAACCAGACACATAAGACAGGCAGGGGCTAGAAACTGGGGTCTGGGGAGCGTGAATGCAGAAGAAAAATGAAAAAGCTACAGGACACCCGAAGGTGGGGACTGGGTCACGTTATACATGAGGAAAGGAAAGGAGTAAGACACAAGAGAAGGCCAGGTCAACCCCGGAGAGGTGGAAGGAGCTTGTCGGGGTCTGGAGGGATGCAGAGCCAGAGTAGAGCCAGGGAGACTGGGGCTTCATGATGAGGTCAGCGGAGACAGGGCAATGTCTGAAGCTGGTCTGGAAGCAGAGGGCAACCACGGCCGGCTTGTCCTGCGTGGGCACTGGGTCTACAGACACAGGTCAGGCTCGCGCCCACCAACCCAGACCCAGACCCAGACCCCGGCTGTGTGGCAGCCCTCGAGTGGCCCGCTTCTTGGAGCAGCACAGAGGAGCCCAGGGCTTCCCACTCCCCAGGAAAATCCAGCCCACCCTGACCTTCACGGGCACCGAGGCTGGCAGACAAGGGCCTGCTTTCAAGGTTGCCCCTGGCATTTG